CGACAGTGAGAGGCCCACATATCGCAAAAAAAAAAAAAAAAGAGGTGGCTGAGCATCTTGTTTTTAGGGAACAAGTCAGACATACCTCATTAGAATCCCAACTCTGCCACTCACTTGTTAAAATGGGCATGTTGACTGAACCTTAATTTCTTCATCTGTCAAATGGGTTCATAAGATTGTCCACCTCCTGGCACTGTTGTGAGGATTCCATAAAAGGATGCAAATCAGGGCTCAGCCCCGGGGCTAGACAAGATTTCTGCTGACACATATGTGAGTTTCCCTGTGCCTGGCTTTGTGCTGCATGCCTTGCATATATTTGTTCACCTAATTCCTGCAACAACCCTGTGAAGTGGGTGCTGTTAGAGCCCCCATTTTACAAATGAGGAGCCTTGGGTACTGGGAAGTGATTTTCTTGAGATCACATAGCTGGGGAGTGGGAAGCCAGCATCAATCTTAGGCTCTCTGGTCTTGGCGTCTCTCAAGTAGGCACTCAAGAAACAGGGGTTGTTGTTTTTACCCCCAATACTTTACTACAGAATATTTTCAAGCATGCAGCAAAGTCGAAAGACTTGTACAGTCACCAGTCACCTGGACACCCCCCACCCAGATCCTGCCATTAACATTTGTCTGGGCTTACTATATCACTTATCTCTCCATCTTATTTTTTGATGCATTTCAAAGTCGCAGACATCAGAATACGTCTCCCAGACACTTCAGCATGCATACTATTAAGTAGAATTCATATTTGTTTCCAGCTCTTTTTCTTTTGAAGCGAAATACATGCTGACCACAAACCTTAAGTGTACATTTGCTGGGTTTTGACAACTGTATACACGTGTATAACCCAACCCCCCCATCAAGATCTAGAACATTGCCACCACCCCAGACTGTCCCCTCATACTCCTTCTCAGTCAGTCCCTATGCCCACTCCTAAGAAACAACCACTGTTCTGAAGTTTTTCACCATAGATTAGTTTTGCCCATTCTGTAACTTCATATAAGTGGAGCCATCCAGGGATTTCCCTGGCAGTCCAGTGGTTAAGACTTCACCTTCCAATGCCGGGGAGTGTGGGTTTGATCCCTGGTTGGGGAGTTGGGATCCCGCATGCCTTGCGGCCAAAAAACCAAAACATAAAGCAGAGGCAATATTGTAGCAAATTCAATAAAGGCTTTTAAAAAAATGGTCCATATCAAAAAAAATCTTAAAAAAAAAAATGGAGCCATACAGTATTACACTCTTGTCTCTGGCTTTTGTCCATCATTTTGCAGATGTGCACTGAGGCCCAGAGAGGTGAAGGGACTCAGCCGGAGTCACCCAGCATCCAGCTGCTGGACCCCGGGGCTCCCGGCATCCGGTCTGCACAACATAACGTCGCTAATCCTGCCCCAACCTCTTCTCACAGGGCGAGAGGCTGAGCCACGCAGTGGGGTGTGCGTTTGCGGCCTGCCTAGAGCGGAAACAGCGGCGGGAGAAGGAGTGCGGAGTCACTGCCGCCTTTGATGCCAGCCGCACCAGCTTCGCCCGGGAGGGTTCCTTCCGCCTGTCTGGGGGTGGGCGGCCGGCTGAGAGAGAGGCTGCTGACAAAAAGAAAGGTGGGCGCTGCCTGGAGGGCGGGGCGGGGCTGGGCACCGAATGGTCCCAGGGTGGGGCCAAGGGATCCTGACTGGGGGGAGAGCTGCAGAGGTATGTACAGGGGCGCTACAGTTTACAAAGCAAAAAGGAAACACACACACACAAAACAAAACCCAAAAAACACAATTTTTAAAAATTAATTTATTTTATTTTTGGCCGTGTTGGGTCTTCATTGCTGTGCACCAGCTTTCCCCTAGTTGTGGAAAGCGGGGGCTACTCTTCGCTGTGGTGCGCGGGCTTCTCATTGCAGTGGCTTCTCTTGTTGCGGAGCACAGGCTCTAGGTGCATGGGCTTCAGTAGTTGTGGCTCGTGGGCTCTAGAGCACAGGCTCAGTAGTTGTGGTGCATGGGCTCAGTAGTTGTGGCTTGTGGGCTCTAGAGCGCAGGCTCAGTAGTTGTAGCGCATGGGCTTAGTTGCTCTGCGGCATGTGGGGTCTTCCTGGACCAGGGCTCGAACCCGTGTCCCCTTATTGGCAGGCGGATTCTTAACCACTGCCCCACCAGGGAAGCCCCCCCCCCAAATTTTTTTAAGTAACAAATACAAAGCAAAGCACCAAACACAAAGTTTGGTTATAGTTTATAAAGTGTACTTCAGTTTAAGGAGTCCTCTGGGCAATATTCTGTTGGCCACAAATCCCAGCAAAGCTCACCGAGAGCTTTATTATCTGCTAACCCAGGGATGTTCCCAGGCTTTTCAAACTGTGTATCCACCCTGTTAATGGGTTGTGAAGTCAGCTTGCTGGGTTGTGGTTAGCATTTTAAGAAATGAAATGGATAAGAATAGAAAATATCAGAGTAATTGAATGTAGTAAGGGTAAGTATAGTTCAATGATACTTTTATGTCAGTATATCTGTGTGTGTGTGTGTGTGTGTGTGTGTGTGTGTGTGTGTGTGTGTATGGAACGGGTTACCATGTTAATGGTATTTCTTATTCTGGGTTGCCATCATGAAAGTTTGAAAAATACCTGGTAAACTCTAACATTCTAGGTCAAAGGCAAATAGTTTACAAGTTCTCAAACTGTGGTTTTTAAATATACATGTATTATGTGCTGAGTCAAAATGTAATTTTTAATTTAATTTTACTTTTTTTATCTGTTTCTAGTTTTTACATTTTTGGAAAACACTGCTTAGAATTTACAAAGAATCCTGAATTGGGATTCAGGATAAAGGAGACCGAAGAGATTTGACAAATATTAATAAATGTAACGTGTGATCCTGAATTGAATCCTGGATACTGTATATATAGATATATATTCAACATTCAGTTCAATATATATATATTGAATATATGTATATAAAATATATACATTGAAAAAATATATATATATATGAACATCCATAAAGGACATGAGTAGACCAGTTGGGGAAATTAGAATATGGACTGTAGACTAGCTAACAGTATCATATCCATGTTAAATTTCCCAAGTAAGAAGTTGTCCTGTGGTTCAGTAGGAGGCTGTCCTTGTTCTTAGGTACATGCTGAAGGTTTTAGGGTTGGGTAAGCTGTCTGCAGCTTACTCTTTTTTTTTTTTTTCCTTGTTGTTTATATGTATTTATATTTATATTTTATATATAGTAGTGTGCATCCATTAGTCCCAAGCTCCTAATTTATCCCCTCTCCCTTTTCCCCTTTGGTAACCATAAATTTGTTTTCTATGCCTGTGAGTCTATTTCTGTTTTGTGAATAAGTTCATTTGTATCTTTTTTTTAGATTCCACATTTAAGTGATATCACATGATATTTGTCTTTCTCTTTCTGACTTACTTCACTTAGTATGATCATCTCCACGTCCATCCATGTTGCTGCAAATGGCATTATTTCATTCTTTTTTATGGCTGGGTAGTATTCCGTTGTATATATATTACCACATCTTCTTTATCCATTCATCTATTGATGGACATTTAGGTTGTTTCCATGCCTTGTTTATTGTATGCAACTTACTCTTAAATCATACTGAAAAAAGATTATGGAAGGAGAGACAGATCAAATACTGTAACAAGTTAACACTTGTTAAGAGTTAACAAGTGTAACAAGTTAACACAAGAGAACATGTGTGCTCCTTGTTCCATCTTTTCTGTACGTTTAAAATATTTCTAGCTAAAAAGTTAGGAAAACAAGTTTTATCACTTGCTAGAATATTAGAGTTCACGACATATGTTTTTCTTGGTAAACTATGTGACCATTTACAAACCCCTTGACAAAGTTAAGGAGTTCTTCACAGCTTACAAAATATTTTGCTGTTTACATCATCTTTTAGAATTTATAAAGAATTTTATCATTGGTAAAGCAGATTACAAAGTATAGTTAACGGAGGGCCTAAGTACATATATTTTTTTTAGTGAAAACCTGTCTTTTATATATATTTATTTATTTATTTTGTTGCACTGGGCCTTAGTTGCAGCAGGCGCGCTCCTTAGTTGTGGCATGTGACTCTTAGTTGCGGCATGCATGTGGGATCTTGTTCCCTGACCAGCAATCGAACCCAGGCCCTCTACAGTAGGAGTGCGGAGCCTTAACCACTGCGCCACCAGGGAAGTACCTATATGATATTTTATTGTTTGCAAAAGAACACACTGAGTACACTGAGTTTACTATTTACATGGAATATTCAAATTTACAAATAATGTCATATGCTTTAGAGTTTGCAAAGGATTTTGCTGTTTCCAAAGGATATTATACGTTCCAGGTACTTTGCTTTGTAGAAAGCACTTGAGAGCTTGCACCGCAAAAATGAGAGTTCACAAAGTGTGGTATATGATTTGCCAAACACATGACAGTGTCTTGCTGATGATGCACTGATTCACAGTCTCAAGGCACCGCACATTCACAAAGAGCTCTCTTCAGTTCAGGAGTTACGGAGCAGTGCACTTTCCACAAAGTTGTTTACCAAGCTTTTGTGGGATTCCAGAGCTTTGAACACTCACTGCCTCAACTGACCCTCTCAGGAGACCTGGGAAGGCAGCAGAGGGATGTTTATCCCAGGTTTAGCTGGGGAAACTGGAGCCCGGAGAGGGGAGGAGACTTCCTGAAGCCCAAGGTGGTGGGGGGCAGGGGCGGTTTCCCAGTTCCAACGTGTCCCGGGCTGTTTCCACTGCCCCCAGCCTGGCCTGGCTGAGAGCCTCACCGCCCCCTCATGGAAGGTGGGAGAAGCACTGGGCACCCTCCCTGCCCTCTCTGGGCCTGAGTTTAACCTCACTAGCATTCAGGCTGCGGCTCAGGTGACGCCTTGATGGGAGGATGGCTGTGTGTTTGTGTATTGGCAGGGGTGGGGAGACCTTGCCATTGAAGAGCCCGCTTCTTATGCTGAGTGGGGAGACCAGGTATCTTCAGAGGACTGAGAACAGCCCCAGAGGGGAGGGAGCCCAGGCTGAGGGGCTGAAACAATCTGGAAAACTCCTCAGAGGAAGCAGTATGCCAAGCTGGGTCTAGAACAATGGGTAGCAACTGGAGGAAGGGAGGAGGTACTTGAGGTGGGAAGAATGGTGGGAGGTGACAGAGAGCAGAGCAGATGGAATGATGGAGGAAGGCAGCATGATGTGGAGAGACCAGGCCAGAGGGAGAGACGGGTTAGCGCAGTCATCTGGAACTCAGACTCTGGAGTCAGCCTGCCCCTTCCTTCACACTATGGCTCAGGCAAGTCACTTGCCATTTCTGGGCCTCAGTTTCGACATCTGTAAAATGGGGATAACGACAATATCAACCTCACTGGGTGGTTGTGAGGACTGAATGAGTTAATACTTGCAAGGCATTTGGAACAATGCCTGATGCATTGGTCATGCACCAGAAAAGTGTTTGTTAAATTAATTAGAAAGGGAGACAGGTCTCAGAGGGAGAAATAGCAGAAGCAGCAGAGGAAGATGGATGGGGGACAGAAAGCTTGAGACACACAGAGGGTCAGGTTGGGTGACGACTCCCCCATGGGCCTCCTGGGGAAAGTGGTCCTGGCTTGGGTGGGGATGAGCGACATTTGGGGGCCCTGACCAGCCTGTCTTGAGGGCAGGGCACATTGGGTGAGGAAGCCAGCATTGGAAAACAATCAAGGGGTCTGGGTAGGAGAGGCCTCCAATGCCAAGGTGAGCTATCTAACCACCTGTCTCACCCATGTCTCCAGCAGAGGCAGCAGCTGCCCCAACTGCGGCTCCTGGCCCTGCCCAGCCTGGGCACGTGTCCCCAACACCGGCCACCACATCCCCTGGCGAGAAGGGTGAGGCGGGCACCCCAGTGGCTGCAGGCAACACTGCGGCTGCCATCCCCCGGCGCCATGCCCCCTTGGAGCAACTGGTTCGCCAGGGCTCCTTCCGTGGGTTCCCGGCGCTCAGCCAGAAGAACTCACCTTTCAAACGGCAGCTGAGCCTACGGCTGAATGAGCTGCCATCCACGCTGCAGCGCCGCACTGACTTCCAGGTGAAGGGCACAGGTGAGCCTGGGGCTCAGAAGGAGGGAACATTGGGATCAGTGCCACTGTCTGTTGTAAGCAAGAGGTAAGAAGAGGTGGTACACACCATGATTTTTTTTTTTAACATCGTTATTGGAGTATAATTGCTTTACATTGTTGTGTTAGTTTCTGCTGTATAACAAAGTGAATCAGGTATATGTATACATATATCCCCATATCCCCTCCCTCTTGCATCTCCCTCCCACCCTCCATATCCCACCCCTCTAGGTGGTCACAAAGCACCGAGCTGATCTCCCTGTGCTATGCGGCTGCTTCCCACTAGCTATCTGTTTTACATTTGGTAGTGTGTATAAGTCCATGCCACTCTCTCACTTCGTCCCAGCTTAACCTTCCCCCTCCCCCTGTCCTCAAGTCCATTCTCTACATCTGCGTCTTTATTCCCGTCCTGCCCCTAGGTTCTTCAGAACCATTTTTTTTTTTTTTTAGATTTCATATATATGTTAGCATAAGGTATTTGTTTTTCTCTTTCTGACTTACTTCACTCTGTATGATAGACTCTGGGTCTCTCCACCTCACTGCAAATAACTCAATTTCGTTTCTTTTTATGGTTGAGTAATATTCCATTGTATATATGTGCCACATCTTCTTTATCCATTCATCTGTCGATGGACGCTTAGGTCACACCATGATTAATTAGCACTGCCTGCCACAGGCAAAGGAGAGGAGCAACATGTGATCAATTAGCAATGTCTGCCATCAGTCTGGGAGAGGAGAGAGGTAGTGTAAGCTGTGATTGATTAGCAATGTCTGCTCCAGGCAAGGGATAGCAAAAAGGTGGCGTAAGTCACGATCAGTTAGTACTGTCTGCTATAGTTAGGGACATGAGAGCAGTGGCAAATGTCATGATTGATTAGCAAGACTTCCATGGGCAAGAGAGAGGAGAGAAGCTGCCCAGATGCCATGTTTTTGCTCAAGAGGAGACCGAGGCACCATAGGCTAATGCTCCCTCCAAGCTTTTGGCCAGTAGAGCCATGAGATCTGGCCAGGTCAAGGATCCAGGTTCAGAGGAAAGAAGGACTGTGATTAACAATGTCTGCCTAGGGCAGGGAGAATAGAGTGATGACAGACATCATGATCTCCTTACAGTGTCTGACTTGAGCAAGAGAAAAGAGCGAGGTGGCACACCACATGATTGATTAGCAAAGTTTGCCATGGACAAGCGAGAAGAGAGAGCAGGAGTATTATGTTTTGCCCAAGAGATGACTCCCAGAATTTGGCTTATGGAAACATGAGGTGAAGGGCACAAGTGAGCATGGGGATCATGGGGTCAGGGTGTGTAGTGATGCATTCGTGATGTCGCTTCTGGGTAAAGGATTGTGCAGAGGCAGCACCTATCATCATCGATTAGCCATGTCTTTGAGGGAAGATAGAATTGCAAGGACCAGTCCTTTCTTTCAGCATTTGGCCAGTAGAGCCACAAGGCTCTACTGGTGAGGGGTAAGGTGAGCAAAGAGTTCAATGGGAGAAAAGCATCATGTTTGATTACTAATGTCTGCCATGGACCAGGAAAAGGAGAGAGATGGCATATGTTGTGATTTAAAAATGTATGCCATGGGAAAAAGGGAGGAGAGAGGTGACATGGAACTATGGTTTGCCCGAGGGAGACAGGCAGGAGAGCTGCCTTTCCTCCCAGCTGTCAGTGAAGTCATGTGGTCTGGCCCACTCTCCTGCTTCCACATGCCAAATCCGAGACACCTACCCCTTATGGCCCTGGGGACTGGTGTGGGAGGTGTTGATCTGTATCCAGGAGGCTGGGCTACTGCAAAAGGTGACTGCTGAGCAGATGCCAGTGCTTGTTGAGAATGACGCACGCTCACTCCATGTTGTGCAGCATCCCATGTACTGCATGCACCCTCAGATTTGCTGTCCTCATTAAGTAACCTGCCATTAAGTACACCCCCAGGGCTGTCACACCTGCTCCCTGAGAGGTGGCAGGCACCCCAGACTTTATTTAGAAGCCTTGCGTGCCTGTAGCCAGTTGCCCACTTGCTTGGATGTAACTTGCCGCACAAAAATTTCATGGACTCACACAGATGTCCCACTCCACTGCAGGTGTCACACACACTTAGTCACACACTTAGTCATGGGCAATCAAAAATCACACACACTTGGAAGTTGCAGGACCAGGTGTTACCATTACACACACTTAGAAAGCACATATCCAATACAAACTACTGTATGTAAAATAGGTAAACAACAAGGCCCTACTGTATAGCAGGGAACTATATTCAATATCCTGTAATAAACCATAATGGAAAAGAATATGAAAAAGAATATATATATATGTATATATGTATAACTGAATCACTTTGCTGTATACCTGAATCTAACACAACATTGTAAACTAACTATATTTCAATAAAAAAGAAAGAAAGAAAGCACATATCCAGATGTCCCATTCAGAAATCACACACACAGATTAACACACGCTCACGAACGACACATCTGGATTCACACAAACTTGTGTGAATCACAAGTCACATATGCTAATTCATGCCAAATTCCATACATCACGCAGGCAGATTGGCTCACGCTGGGGAATCACAATCGGATGCCACAACCTGGATTTCAGTCACACTCAGATGCCACCCCCCAGAAGCTGCACACCCATTTGGACTAACAGGCACAGTCATCATAGAAATTACCTGGAAGCCACCTACTCTCCCACCTGGGCAGCCCCACGTCACACCTGCTGACTCCTACAGCTAGTTTCTTTCTGATGCTCATAGGAGCATCACACACACTCCCTTGGAGATAGCCACTCGCTGAGCTGTCACAGGCACTTGTCACACGCCACACTTGACAGTCCTCTTGTTCATTTGGATGGTGCCTTTTCTCATCCTAAGCCCTCACGAGGCCACCACACCTGCTCAGCGTGTCCTGTCTTGCAGGCACAGGTGCATCTCTGCCCTCATGACATATGTTATGGGCCAGGCCTGGTGGGGCCCCACTTCCGCACTCAAAGCAAGACAGATGATCCCCAGCCAGTGACCAGCAGCGTGGGCAATATCCATTCTGACTAGTCAGTGCTTTTGCCATACATGTGGTTGAACATTTTTAATTTATTTTTTTGGCCGCGCCACGCGGCTTGTGGAATCTTGGTCCCCTGACCAGAGATTGAACCCGGGCTTTGGCAGTGAAAGCACCAAGTCCTAACCACTGGACCACCCAGGGAATTCCCTGAACATATTTTAAAATTAATGTATATTGTTAAGCATTTAAAGTATTTCTTCTGGTTTGCGGCTACATACAGCTCTTGAGGTCCTCCTTGGTTTGGGATCCCTGTGACTGTCTGCCATCATGTGTCACACACTCCTTGGCTGTTGTACCACTCAGATGTCACACACACACACGTGTGCACAGTCACCATTTTTGTGGCCGTGGCCACTTAGTTACTGCAGAGTGGACCCACCAACCCACACACCTTGTGAGGGCCACCTGCGGGGATGGGGTCAAGGGCAGAGCCTGGGCCTGTTCGCTGACCTCCACCCTTCCCTGACTTCCCAGTGCCTGAGATGGAGCCTCCCAATGCCAGTGACAGCGACAGCATCAGCGCCCTGTGTACACAGATCAGCTCATCTTTTGCCAGTGCTGGAGCGCCAGCACCAGGGCCACCGCCAGCCTCAACAGGTAAACTCAGCCCTTCTCTTGGGGCAGATGCCCTGCAGTGCCCCTCCTGCATCCCCCTGCTCCTTTCAGGGCTACTGCAGAGGCTCTGGGAATCTTGGAATCCCACAGGCTTAGAACCATGGATCATCTTAGAACCACGGGGTCATCTCAGAGCTGTGGGTTCATCCTAGAACCATGAGATAACATAAGAATTATGGGGTCACCTTAGAACCATGGGATCAGTTTTTAAACCTTGCTGTCTTAGAACCATAAAATCTAGAAACCTACAGCCTTTGAATCACAAGATATTAGAACCTAACAGATTTGGAGCCAGGAAACCTTGGAATCTTACAGCCTTAAAAGAGTGCTCTCTGAGAAAATAGTGCCAAGGAATCACCTTAGAGCCACGTGCTTATCCTAAAACCGTGGAAGCACCTTGGAATTACAAACAATGAAAATTTAGAACTCTAGAATCTTAGAAAACACAAACTTAAAAACACTGAAACTTACCCACTATGTTAGAATAGTACACTCTGAGAAAGATCCATGCAGTCTTAGAATCTTAGCCTCCTAAGACAATACAGTGTCAAAATATTAGAGCCAAGGGTGATATTAAAAAATATTTAATAACAGGTTTGCTACTGACCAATCAGAAGGGAAGCTGGCCTGGGTGATTGTCAGTCGTGCCTATACTTTTCATCTTAGGACCTTAGAATCTCAGAAATGAATTTTCGTAGCACTGCATGACCTGTGGTCTAGGATGGTCAAGCCATTTGCCCAAAGCCCATGCAGCTAATGAAGAGCAGAGCTGGGTGCAAGGCAGGCGGCCCGGTCCAGAGTCTGATCCCCAGCCTGGGGTTCTCTCTGCTGCGGCCCATGCCCCCTAACTGCCCTTCCCCTCTCTCCAGGGACTTCTGCCTGGGGTGAGCCCTCCGCGCCCCCTGCAGCTGCCTTCCAGCCTGGGCACAAGCGGACCCCTTCGGAGGCCGAGAGGTGGCTGGAGGAGGTGTCCCAGGTGGCAAAAGCGCAGCAGCAGCAGGCAGCCTCTGTGCCTGCTGTGCCCCCTGGCCTGCAGCCCTTCCCCGCCCCCGTGGGGCCCTTCGACGCCGCACCTGCCCAGGTGGCCGTGTTCCTGCCGCCTCCACACATGCAGCCCCCTTTTGTGCCCGCCTACCCGGGCTTGGGCTACCCGCCCATGCCCCGCGTGCCCGTGGTGGGCATCACACCCTCACAGATGGTGGCCAACGCCTTCTGCTCAGCCGCCCAGCTCCAGCCCCAGCCTGCCACCCTGATTGGGAAAGCTGGGGCCTTCCCACCCCCTGCAGCACCCAGTGCCCCTGGGGGCCAGGGCCGTCCTCGCCCCAGTGGGGCGCCCTGGCCCCCAGAGCCAGCACCCGCCCCGGCCCCTGAGTTGGACCCCTTTGAGGCTCAGTGGGCAGCGTTAGAAGGCAAACCTGCTGTAGAGAAGCCTTCCAACCCCTTCTCGGGCGACCTGCAGAAGACCTTCGAGATTGAACTGTAGCCCGAGTCACCCCATCATCTCCAGGAGCCCCACACCTGGGAGTGGAGGCCCAACCTCTCCCCAGTCCTGCTCCCTGGGGCTGCACCCTCCTGACGACCTCTCTAACCCTTCTCTCGGCCACCTCCCACGACCAGTACAGAACTGACATTGTGACGCCCAGGTTGCAATAGGATGGAATTCAGGGACGGACCCAGCCTGGCTAAGGGACCCATTTCTCTGCCAGACTTAGGCTGGCATGGCCCCCTCTCCCCGGAACCCAGACACAGGGGGATGGCCACGATCCCACCGAGTGCCCTCGGTTCAAGCTCTATTCCTCAATTTCTGTTGTTGACCTTCTACCTTCCAGTACTGGGTGGGATGGAGGAGGGATGCCCACCTGGGGGCCCTCCTCGGCCCCAAACGAGTGCCCACCCCAAGTTTGGTCATTCCCCCCGCCCCCATACACAGCACAAACAAAGGGCTTCCTTCTGCCCACCTGCTGCGTTCACTGCCAATGCTGTGCTCACCCCTACCACCCCTCCCCTCCCCTTGGGGGCCCACATGTCCTTTGGGCCAGGGTCTCATGGGGGTAGGGGGCCAATTGGGGGCCCAGGAGGCAGGTAGCGGGAAGGGGAAGGGGAAGATGCTCAGTTACCTCACGTCGGTGCCCGCTGGGGAGGGGTCTGGGAAGAAGGAAGGGGGTGCCTGGCGGGTACTTTTCTATCTTTTATTTCCAGATTTTTTTGTATCTAAACTTGCAGATTTGTATTATACAAGGACAGCCAATAAAGGAAGAATATAATGGTGCCCCTCTAGAAGGCAGGGTGTGTGTGTGCAGGGGGGATGGTGTGGAGACAGAGCCTTTCCTCCTGAGTCATCTCCTAAAACCAGAGGGAGTAAAAAGGGTCTCCCTGCATATTCACCTCTGAGTCGTAGCATGGGAGCAGGTAACACTGACCCAGCACTCAAGAAGTGGGTTATTAATGGGTACCCCAAATTAATCACTCCATTTCTGATTCTTATAGATTTTGAAACAAGGAATTAAAAAAACATATAATCTCCTGCTAATAACTTCAGTATTAAAATTTTAAATAATTACGTTTGGAGTAGCATATCTTGGAGCTGGCGAATTCACGTTTCAGCAACTGCATTTTCCATAACTTAGGCCAAAGTGTCATCTGACGTGGCAGCACGTTTTTAAGTCTCTCTGTTGTTTCTTGGGTTCCTTGATACAATCTACAAAGTTATATATTTTAAAATATATAATATATAAATTATATGTTTAATTCTTTATGGCTCTCTAAAATGATGAGATTGGTTTCATGAAACCCAATATTATATCCCCATTCGACAGACCAGGAAGTTGAGTCACTTACCCAGGGTCACACATCTGATTAGTGGGGGAGCTGGGATTCAAGCCCAGCTTCTGGTCGACCTCAAGGCCAGTCACTGAACCACCAGGCTGTGAGGGAACAAGCCTAGGGTCTGCCCTCAAGGGTTTACATTACAGCCCATCAACCGGCTGGATCCTGGACTAGGGGACCTGTGACAGATGGCTCGCCAGGGCAGCAAGGGGGTCCCCAGGGAGCAAGCAAAGGACTCTGCTTGAAAAGAGCCACACTTTCTTAATCTGAGCCTTTGCAGATGTCATTTCCTCTGCCTGAAACACCCATTCCTGACACTGCACCTTTTCCCAGAAGAATGCTACTCATTCCTTTTTTTTTTTTTTTGTATTGCAGTTTGCTTTATTTTCCCCCAATAATGGAATGTCCTGGATGCCATTTCATACAGATGAGTCACATATAGATCTGTGTCACCTCTCTTTTAACACTTCATAGGATGCTACTCATTCTTCAGGCCTCAGCTCAAATATCTCCCCTTCTTAGGAGTGGAGCCTCTTCCAAGGCCCCGCCCCCATCCAATCCTTTCAAAGCTCTATGACCCATCAGGCTGAGTCAGGAGCCCCCTGCTCCGCTTGGATCCTACAGGGCCCCGTACTTCCAGCATCCTGGCCCTAACTCCTCTCTGTTTCCCCCAGCCCAGGCCTGACCATTCTGGGCTGTCAATATCTGGCCCCCCACTGGACTGTGAGTGAGGGGTGGGTCTGGGGCTGTCACTTTGGTGTTCAGGCACAAGGCCAGAGAAGAGGCAATCTCAGCGATTCACCGCTACAAACCGCTGGCGAGTGAGAGGGGCAGAAAAGGCCTAGGACTTGGAGATGATTCGAACTACTGGACTGATGGAGAAACAGGCCACGCAGCACACAGAACATCAAGGACAGAGTCAAGACCGTCTTCCATGCCAGAGGCTGATCTTTACACAAAACCATTCTTCGCTGTGCCCAGAGCAGTCTTTCTCAGACACCCCTCCGTGCCCACCCCCCCCCCCCCCCACACACACACGCACACCAATCCCCGTAGAAGCAGATGTTTTGGGCCCGCGGAGCTCCACGGATCCCTTATCTCCCGAGGACCTCCCACGGACTCCTCTTAGCCAGTTTCCCCATCTTCCCTCCCACGCCCGATGGAAACTCTCGCTCTTCACGGCGCTTCCCTCTCCACAGAGACCATGGATCTGGGATTAACCTCCCACTCTCACTTTCCCCAAGCTTCGGCTCTCTCAGAATAGACCCGAGGACGCGGAGTTAACGCACCAGCCCAACCCAGTGGCCTCGTCCCAACTAACGCCACGTGATGCACTCTCCCCGCCCCCCCATAGAGGGCTTCCTTAGGGCGACGTCAAGCTCAGGCGGCTGCAGCGCCCCCTTCCTGGTTCGCTTTGAAAAGCTCCGCCCCCCAGGCACCTCCTCTCCAGGAACCACCCCGGGCGGCGAGGACTATTTTGGAACCTTCCACGCCAGACTGCGCCTAGCGCCCCGCCCTTTCCGGAGCGCTTTGGAAAGCTCCGCGCTGCGGCCTCCTGGGGACCAAGAACAGACGCCGCCTAACTGACGATCTGCTGCTCCCCGGGGGTGCTTCCGCCACCCTACGAAGGGCCACTCGCCGCCCGTGTTGCCTCTGGCTCTTCGGAAACATTCCCCAGACAAACACCCCCACCCCCCCCCCCCCAACACCCCCACCCCCCTGCCCTCAAGGCGCCGCTCGGACCTCGGGCTCCTGCAAGACCAAGGGGATCACGGTAGTCTCCCCGAGCGCAGTAGAACAGCACCCCCGTGTGGCCCTGTCCTCCAGAACCCGCGGAATGGCCGGATTCGTGGGCTGCAGCAGAGACCCGCCAGACCTATGCTAAGGTAGAAAAAGTGTTTAAAAAAAAAACTAGCGTCACAGTCATGGACAACATCATCCTTCAGGGTCTGGCTCAGGCGTCCACTCCGCTAGGAAGTGCCCCCTGATTCCTCCCATCTGGATCTCCGACGTCCCCCCTGTGCTTCCCCTATCCTGGCCCTGACCCCTGTGCCTGTGTCTCCTCCATCCATTCTGGCCCTGACCCTCTGGGCTGTCACTGGGCCTGTGAAGCCAGGGACAAGAGCTGTCTTAGTCACCACTGTGTCCCCAGCATCGCCCAGGGCAGCACAGAGTAAGGTTCAGACGACCTGCAGGGCACCTCCTAGGGAGCATTCATTTAGTCCCTCACACATATTTTGCTTAGTTTTAACAGTTTTGTTGAGGTGTATTCTACATATCATAAAATTCACCTGTTTTAAGTTATGTAATGATGCTGAGTGATTGTTTCTGCAGAGCTGTACAGCCATCATCACAATCCAATTTTTTTAAATGTATTTTTTACAATCCAATTTTAGAACATTAACCTCACCCTAAAAAGACCTCTTGTGCCCACTTGCAGTCAATTCGCATTCCCATTCCCAGCCCCAGGCAATCACTGATTACTTCCCTTCGTTATGTATTCTTCTCTTCATTTTACAAGCATTTTCGGAATACTTGCTTCTATCAGATACTGAGTGCTGAGAGGATACGCAATGACACACACAGGCCCTGCCCTCAGGGACCTCAGAGTCTGGTTGGGGCGATGGCTAATGGGAAGATATATTTGCTCACTCATTCCTTCATTCAAAAATATGTATTGAACGCCTGTGCCAGCTACTGTTCTAGGCCCTAGGGATATAGCCGTGGGGGGAAAAAGAAAAAAATCTCTCTTTGTTGGAGCTGATATTCTAATGAGAGGATTAAAAAAAAGAAATAAACAAGTAGATGTGTGATTTAATGGTTGGAAGCCATGGCAAGAGTTTGCCTTCTGGTCTAAGAAGGACGGGAAACCACAGGAAATTTTCAGCAGGGGGGTGACATGATCTGATTTACATTGTGTAAAGGTTCACTCTGACTGCCACGAGGAGAATGGATTATGTGGTGGCCAGCAAGGGTGAGAATCAGGGTGGGGGAGTGATGATGACCTAGTCTAGGGCAGGAGCAATGGGAAGGGGAGAGAGTGATTAGGAGATAAAATCAAGATATCAAGCCAAGGACCTTAGTGGGTCAGTTGGGGTAATTTGCATATGGACTATAGTATTATATTAATCTTAGTTCCCTGGTGTGATAATGGTATTGTGCTTGTGAAGGAGAATGTCCTTGCTCTTGAGAGATGTCTGCTGAAATATTAAGGGTGAAATGTCACAAAATGACTGCAAGCAATTCTCAAATAGACCATTTTCTATTTACAACTCTCTACCTATAGATATCTATATACATAGCTATCGATATATAGTCACCAGTTTTTAACAATTAGTCATCTCACTCTCACTTTCTATCAATATCTGTATCTATATCTATTTATCTAACTATCTAGAAAGAGAGAGAGAGAGCTAATTGTTAAAACTGGTGAACCTGTATCAAGAATATGTGGATATACCTTATACTTTTCTTGCAATTCTTTTTTTTAAAAAAAAAAACAACAAACAACGGGGCTTCCCTGGTGGTGCAGTGGTTGAGAGTCCACCTGCCGATGCAGGGGACACGGGTTCGTGCCCCGGTCCGGGAAGATCCCACATGCCGCGGAGTGGCTGGACCCGTGAACCATGGCCGCTGAGCCTGCGCGTCCGGAGCCTG